CTGGATATCATAGATGACATTTCAAATTTCAAAAGAGTGTGTACATTTGTAATAATAATAAAAAACATGATGGCAGTCAACAGGACATAAGTGGGAGTAAGCCATGAAGCTTATGATTTCTAGATACAGAGCCTAGACCAGGGGTAGGCAACCTTGGCTCTTTTATGACTCGTGGACTTCAACTCCCAGAATTCCTGAGCAGCTGGCTCAGGAATTCTGGGAGTTGAAGTCCATGAGTCATAAAAGAGCCAAGGTTGCCTACCCCGGCCTAGACTGTAGGATATCTTTCCCATTGGTTTCAGTCATCACTATAATGCATCAACCTCAAGAAAGGAATAAAGGGCCTGAAAGCAATGGATGACAGATTTTTATAAATTATCAAATTGGTAAAATAGTCAACCTTAGTTTGTCTCCTGCTGCCCCTTGAATAAAATAGGCTTCTCTTAATGCTGTAGTAAGAGAAGGATCTATTTTTTTCTGCCCTACTTTTTATACTAGTAGAACTAAACTATAGTTCTTGCCCAAGTACTTGAAGTAAAGAAGTCCTGAAGTTGAACTCAACTTCTGAGGTCTAGCATAGCCCTCACTTATAAGGGCATTTGGACCCATAGCTCTGTTGCTAAATGATATAGTAATAAAATAAAATGTCACATAAATGCTGCTGCATCTGTTGTAAATGTATGCCAAAGACATAAATCACAACTATGTGACCTATGTGACCACAGGGATGCAGTGATGGCCTCAAATTGGATTTGATTCAAATTCTTCTTTTTCACCTCCAGTGTAACTTTGAACAGTCTGTGTTAATGGTCAGTAAACAAGAATTACATGCATTTGAATACATCCATGCAACTTTCTTGGTAATTGTAGGGATGGACTTTGCCATTGTTTCTTATGGATTTGATTTGATTTGACTTTCCACTCCAGGCTATAATCCTGAGACTCCCTGGTGGTTCCCCCCCCAAATTCTCATAAAGTCTGGCCTTGATAGTTTTTGTATCCAGACAAAGGTCTGCCAGGTGCTGCAGTCTGCATTCAAATCTTTTAAATGCATGGAATTGTATGTTAGAATTCTATTTCACGGTTGTATATGTGCCTATAGAATATGAATCTTGCCCAACAAGATTTTTTAAGGAGCAGTATAGTAGCTCTTGAGGTATGTTCATCCATATTAATAGAACTAATTTTTCTGCATTGAATGCAATGATAGGGAATGTACTTCAATGCGTGTGGTGGGTACTCAGTTTGGAAGGGCTGGTCCTGGATTCACTGTTTCCTGAAATTCAAGAACTTTGTGAATAATTTTCTCACATTCTTAATGCATAATGTCAAATAGAAAACATAATGGATATCAGTGGCAGTTGTTCTAATTCAGGGGAAAGCAAACATCTGGGTTAGGGGGCCACAACTCATGAGTTGGTGGGCTGCAGGATATATTCCAGTGGCGTCATTGGAAAGTGTGGGATTCAAAAAATTGGCCCATTTATTCATAATTTAGAGGTTTTTACAAATGGAAATAGAAACAACTCCTCCTCCCGCTCTTATTTTAACCTCTTTTTAAAGTTGTACAAATTCATCGGTTATTTGCAGAATTTCAGTATCCTGATATTGATTCAAGGGCCAATGGGGAAATGCATGTGGCCAACAGTCAGTGGGTTGAGCATCTTTCCTAGTGTGTTATAAAACAGACCTTTTCCACTGTAATTTTGTAAATAACAGGTTGCTTTGTATCTTTTGTCTGTTATGTGACAAAACTTTTAATGAAGAGCTGCTGTCATGACTATTATTATTGGAGAGAACCCAAACCATTTTTTTCCTTCCTTTGCTGTCTTAGTTTGGTTTTTTTCTTTTCAGAAATAGGGTCTGCCAACTCCAGCAGAATGTGTGACTTAAACAGGTGTTTTGAATTTCCACAGGGTTTTTAGGTGAAGGACTGTAAAAGTCAGCACTGCATACAGAAGTGTTCTTATGCTAGTTAAAATCCTCACCTATTTTCATACTCTGACACTTCTTCCTACTTTCTAAATCCAATGAACAGATTACCAACAGAAGATGTACAATAGCACTTTATTATTTATTTAGTTATTTAGTTAATTTCTATATTACTCATCTCACCGAGGCAACTCTAGGCAGCTTACAGTCTTTCAATAAAATACCATGTAAAACATTAAAATAATAAAAGATCATAAATTTAAAATTCAGATTGAAATCCTGAGATTCCATTTTACTTGACTTTGGATCTTCCATTTTCCTGGCTTACCAGTTCTTGTTTCTCTCTGGAGAAAATTTTCTAATATAGCAATTAAAATACCTCAGGTTGCTAGAAATGCCTTCTTTAACCTTAGTAGAAAGCACAGTTGTTTTCTTACTTGCTTTTACTGTATTACCCATTTTTAAAATTATATCAGTTCATGATTCTGGGATGACTTCATGTTCTAGATCACCTGGTCCATTAAACCTAAATTAATAATACAGTGGCAAGAACATCTCCATATCAAAGTTTTTCCTGACTGTGCCAGTAGTATAGGAGCGTCTAGAAAGCCACAAAACTTTGTGGTTATTGATTAATTGTTGAACTCCACATATTGTATGTTTTTATCTATACAGTAATCGCATAGAAAGGATATTGCACACTTTAGCTTTGTGGCAGGCAAAAACTTTTCAAATGAGATTTTAACACTAATGATGGGAAAAAGAGGAACAAGTTGCGTAACAACTTTGAAAATTGACGTGGCAGTGATTTAAACTCTGTGGCTGAATAATGTGTTCTGGCTTTTGGTGTGGGTGTAATGATTAATTCTTTTTGTTGCATTTTTTTGTTAATATTGTATTAAAAGAGTTCAAACAGACTGGGATACTCAAACAGACTAATTGTTTTAAAACAAATTAATTAGTCAACAATCCTGATCAAACATTGCATTATTTGGTAGTGATGCAGAAATCTGTAAAACCAAGAAATTGTCTACTACATACATTTCTTTATCTTACCATAATTATATCAGGCTGGTATATATGCAATATATGCAGAAGAAGAAGTATATATGCAGAAGAGTTATGGCCTCAAGTATTCTAATTAAATTAGAATTAGTAGTAAGGTCTAGTATACTAGGAAGAAATATCTTTTTCTGTATGGTTACTGAATAAGCAATTAACTTATTTATATACCAATAAAAACTACAATTTCCACCCATACTAAAATGTGATTAAACTTCTCTGTATTCAAATTCAAATTTTGGTTTACTCTTATTCTTAGTTTCTGTGCAAGTTGTTGTGTATAATCTTGAGTGACAGTTACTAATGACAAGAAATCGAACCTATAACTTCATGTTTAAACTTCTGATTGGGCAATTCAGTCTGTCTGCTAGTAAGTATTGCTGAATTCCAACATTGTGCCGAGTGTTGAAGGTTGGTTGCAATGTGACTAACTGCTAAGATTTCCTGTGGGCCTTTTCACACCCATTGCTGAAAAAGCAGGTGGTTTGAAGTGAGGGTTCCCTCTGGGGTTTCACACTCTATGCACAACATGCAGAAGTGAAAGACAACCATCCGTTCTGTCCATCCCTAGTTCTCCACTTAACAATGGGAGAACAGGGAGGGGGCAGAGAAGTTGAACACAGATGGATATGTTGGAAATCTGTCAATATATTTATGAAGGAAATGCTGCGGCAGTGTCCCAGATTGCTTGGGAAGTAATTAAATGAGACAGACAACCATTTGTTTATTGAACAAATAATAGATGGGTGTATTGTTTAAGCAGATAAGGAGTATACATTTTGATAGGCAACATTATAAGAATATTTCTTGCAACAGGTTGGTTAGCACAATGGATTTGGCATGCTCCAAATAGCTATAAGTATTAGGTCCTTTTGTCATTTTAGAAAAATGTTTCAATTAAATTCTTCACAGTTTTAAATATAATTCTAGATTCCTTTATTTTATTGTAAGTATAAAAATACCAATCTTCTCTTCTGTATTTTGTAAAGGATGCTTTACAGATAAATACTCCTTTGCCAACATGTTATGGCTCTTCATAGCCATCTGCAAGTAGCTCCCTCCTTTATTCTACCTCAACATCTATAATATAATATTGAATTGAGAATGTTCAAAATAAACATTATTGTTAGTAGCCTGGATCCATGGAAACATTGCTAATCTCTACTATTTTTAGTCATTTATTTCCATTCATTTATGATGTTTTCCTATTTGGTAATATAAGGAAATAGATTGCTGTCTTTTAAACTCTTTTGAACTCATTGGGACATTTTTTATTAACAGACTTATATATGATTATGTTGTTAAGAACCTTGCACATTATGTCTATACACTAAAATGATGGATTGGATGCTATTGAAATATATCTAACTGCAGACTAATTTCAGGCATTCATTTCTATAAGGTGAATTCTAATAATTTTCATCAAGTTGGTCTGCCTATATATTCCATTAGCTACAGTAAGAAATTTCTATGACTAGTGGATCCTGAGCTGATCAAGAGAGTGGACTAGATGAGCTTCAATGGCCCTTCCAGTTTTACATTCTGTACTGTGTTGGACTTGAACCAATTAGTTGAATTTAGTCTGTCTGCCTTTGTTATTCTCTCCCTCTCCCCCCTTTCCCTCCCTCCCTCCCTCCCTCCTCCTCCTCCTCCTCTCTCTCTCTCTCTCTCTCTCTCTCACACACACACACACACACACACACAGAGAGAGAGAGAGAGAGAGAGAGAGAGAGAGAGAGAGAGAGAGAGAGAGAGAGAGAGAGAGAGAGAGAGAGAATCACACTGGCTTGGAGATCAGATTCCTCAAAGAGAATTGTTATGTAAGGATTACTGAGATATAATGTATAAAAGTGTTTTAAACTCTCTGAAGCACTATATTTGCTTTTTCCTCTCTGCCCTACTTTTGTATTTTTTGCCAACACTCACCAGAATATCAATTTCAGGCAGAGTTTTTTTTTACTGTATTCTTGGTTTTTTTTTCCATATACCCAACTTTAGTTGCTGGTGAGAAGAGAGTATCAGTAATGCCAGGATCCCCTGTGGAAGTCAAGATACAGTCAAGATCTTCTCCATCCAGTATGCCACCTTTACCACCTGTCAACCCCAGTGGCCCCCGGCCTGTTTCATTTACCCCAGCAGCATGTAAGAAAGTTGAAATTTGTATTTGAGCCTATTATTCCTGAATGTCTTTTTTGTTTTTCTATATGAAAATAAAATATTTTAAGAAACTTACTACAGGCCTTTTCGTTTTAATGCCAACAACTGTCAGATGTCAAAAATTAAGATGATGGATGCAGTGTGTTGCGATCCATGCTCCCCCCCACCCTGTGTGTATGACTGTAGATGTTGACCTCTCCCATCTCAAGTGCTGATGGCCAGAGGTTGGAAAGAGCTTTTTGAAATACAGTTGTTTTTTTTATTTTTAATCAAAAATGTGTAGAAGCATTTTTCTTCAGCGGAATAACTTTTGGAGAAAGTTTGTGTGATTTTGTCATACCCATTGCCTGGAGAAAGGGACAATAAGAAGATCAATGTTTTTCTACCAGTGACATCCACATATGAGATATTTCATCATTTTTGGAGGACAGAACTCATAATTATTAAATAATAAGATTCCCCAAACTAAATAAAATAACTTTTTTATGTATTTAATTTTAAACTAAATGAGCATTGGTTCATTTAGTCTGGCATTGCTAATTCTAAGTACAGTCTCCTGATTGTTCAGAAGACTCCTTCTAGCCTTCTGAATGTTCACAAGAATGTCATCCACTCTTGCAATGTTTTGGAAGCCTTCTTCTAAACAATTGTGACAACAGCACCCTCTGAGAAGAAAACTTTCGAAGCACTGCAAGAGCAGATGCCATTCTGGGGATCACCTGGAAAACTAGAAGAAGCTTTCTGAATGAATGGGAGAAGATGCAGAAGCCCTCTGTCATCAGACAGAAGCTGCTTATCAGAAGCTGCAGAAGAAGAGTGAAAGTAATTGGGATGCTTTACATGCACCGGTGAGCCCTGTAAGCAGCTGAGGCCTCTCAGGCCTGATCAGATGGGGAGCAGTCCCAGGTTTCCATGACGGCGTGTAGGTTTATGCATGTTGGTGACCTGAGTGCCTGGTTGATGGAGGAAGAGATAGGTGGGTGGGGTGTTGCAGCACCCCTGCTGTCATAAGGGCAGGTTGGACTGACAAGCACCCAAATTTTCATCACATCACTGTAAGGGTACTACAGTTGCCTTAAATTTGGCCAGAGAAACTTACAATTTTGAATTATTGCTGAACGAGGACTGCCTATACTTGGTATTGTCCAGGATCTTAGGAAAAACAATTCTTCAACATTGGGCTAATTTGTAACTAGAGATCTAGAATTCTAAATCCTGGAATTTCATATGTTCCTACCATTATTGTGCTAAGGCAGTGGTGGCGAACCTATGGCACGGGTGCCAAAGGCGGCACTCAGAGCCCTCTCTGTTGGCACACGCGCCGTCGCCACAGTCCTAGGCCTTCAGCTGGGTTTTATAAAACCTTTTCGCTTTAGGCCTCCACCACCGTGTACAAAAAAAAAAAGGTTCAATCAATTTCAACTTCTCACAGGAAAAAAAAGATCTTGCAAAGTTGGAATTGATTGATTGAACTTTTTAGTCCCACCCAGTCTGCTGTTACCACCGCAGCCACGCCCACCCAATGGGCCACACCCACCCGGCACCCGACGATGCATAAGTGGGTTTTGGGTTGCAGTTTGGGCACTCAGTCTCTAAAAGGTTCGCCATCACTGTGCTAAGGTATCCCATCTAAAAGGTTTATGTAAAAATGTTAAACGTGACCTGCAGATTGTCTTCCTTACAATACATTAGTCTCACCATTTCAGAAGCTTTTTGCAGCTCATTGGTGAATATAGCATATTTCTTCTTCATTGTACATCTTCATTTCCTCACTGTAGTATCTAATGGGATGAATCATTCTCCCCCTACTTTGAATGGAGCTCCTTCACCTCCCCAGAGGTTCAGCAATGGTCCTGCATCATCTTCCTCATCTTCACTGACGAATCAACAGCTCCCAGCTACCTGTGGGGCTCGTCAGCTGAGCAAACTGAAACGCTTTCTTACCACCCTTCAACAGTTTGGCAATGATATTTCACCAGAAATTGGAGAAAAGGTCCGGACTCTTGTTTTGGCATTAGTGGTGAGTATTAAAACACCAAAGTCAGCCAAAACTGCAGGAACAGTGGATTTACATTTGGTTATGACAGCGTTTGTCAACCTCAGCTACTTTAAGATGGAGAGACTGCAACTCCCAGAATTCTCAGCCAGCAGGCTAACTGGGAATTCTGGGAGTTGAAGTCCACACATCTTAAAGTAGTTGAGGTTGTCAAACACTAGATTATGGCATTAGGGTTGGTAGGAAATTACTGTTGCTTATTTATATTACCAACTCTGCTCTATTATTTATCTTTGCAATTTTGAGATGTTCAGTTTCCAATAACTGCTGTTATCATTTAGAGCATGGTGAAACCTGGGTTTGCAGCGATATAGTGCCAGCAGGGGGATCCGATTGCTAAAAATACTAATGACTCTTGGCCTGCATTCATAAAATCATAATGTCCAGATCTGTACTGTGCTGATAGGCTCTTGCATTTGGACCCCAGTGATCCAAATCACTGTAACTAATCATAGTTCAGGGTGTCATGTTTAAAGATAGACATTAACAAATTGTAGTATGTCTAGAAAATTGTAACGGAATGAGAGTAAACTGGAAAACAAGACTTATGAGAATTATAGAAAGAGCAAAGTATATTCAGCTTGTAAGAAAGAAGATAAAGGACAAATTCGATAGTTAAAAAAAATCTAAAAGATGAAAATGGAACAGATTTGTTTTATTCTCTGATACTTCAGAGGGCAGGTTTAGAAATTGCAAAGTAGCACATTTTAGTTAAGCATTAGGATAAGGTGTTTTTTTTAATGATAACTTTTTTTATTAAGGTTGCAGAATAGGAAGTTTCCCTTTGTGGGAAGTATTAAAGGCAGAGGTCAGACTTATCCATTTGTCAGGAAATACTATGGTTGTATCTAATTTTGAGAAGTACCTGTAAGTTGGTCTAGAACAGGGGTAGGCAACCTTGGCTCTTTTATGACTCGTGGACTTCAACTCCCAGAATTCCTGAGTCAGCATGGCTGTTTCAGGAATTCTGAGAGTTGAAGTCCATGAGTCATAAAAGAGCCAAGGTTGCCTACCCCTGGTCTAGAAGATCCCCATAATGTACTTCACAGCCTTGTGATTCTGTCTTTAGTTTCTACCTTTTACCCAAAGTCAGTTGATTTTTAAAAAAATCCTAACTTTAAGTATAATTTGTATTTTCAGATGAAAATGTTTTGTTACTTAACAATGATGGGGTGATAAAGATTGCTAGTTCTTCCATGGAATATGTAAAGCCAGCTTCTCATGCAAATATAGGTTCAGGAAAATAAATTTAAATACATGGGGACTATAGATAGACCTCGTTTAACAACGTTTCCACTTAGCAACCGTTTGACATTACCATGGCATTGGAAAGGCAACTTTATGAGTGGTCCTAGCATTTATGACTGTTACAGCATCCCTGCAGTCATCTGATCAAGATTGGGGCACTTCAAGACTGATGGGCACTTACAACCATCATAGCGTTCCAGGTGATCACTATTTGCATGCTTCACAGTTGGCTTCCAACAAGCAGAGTGAATGGAGAAGTTGGCAGTATAATTGCAAGTCAAGGTCATATGATGTTTTGCTTATGACTGCAGCAGGAGTGAGGTCATAAGTCTATTACGGTCATGTGATATTTTGATGAACAGAGTCATTTAATTCTGATTACTTTCTTTTTGCAGAATTCAACAGTGACAATAGAAGAATTTCATTGCAAGCTTCAGGAGGCTACTAATTTCCCTTTGCGTCCATTTGTAATTCCATTCTTAAAGGTAATTATTGTACCCTGTTGGTAAGATTTCATGAGACATTAGACTAGATGACCTCCAAGGTCCCTTCCAACAACAACAACAACAACATCATCATCATCATCATCATCATCATCATCATCATCATCATTATTATTATTAATCTCTCAAAGGATGTTAATGTACAGCAGTAGCTTGCACTATACTTGTGGAATACACAGAAATCTCTCTCTCTCTCTCTCTCTCTCTCTCTCTCACTCACTCACTCACTCACTCTCACTCTCACTCTCTCTGTCTCTCTCACACATACTCACACACACATTTGACCTTACTGCCTTCAACAGAATTTGTTTTAATAAGTAAAAAGGAAAATGTTTATGAGATCTGATTTTTTATAGCAAATCAAAACATAAGCCAAATAATTTATATTACTATATGCATTATATATTTTATTATGACTTAATAAGTGTTCCCCTAAGATTTGCTGTTGCTTGATTTGAGAAGATTTAAAATTGCAGAGATAATAAAACGAATAGTTCTGTTTGCCACAATTTTATGTAACAAAAAAACAAAAGAAAATGTCCTCTGGATAGCCATTGCTAAAATGATAGGAAAGTGCTTTTTGCTCTGAGCCAGATTTTGTTCAGCTTAGTCAAAATCACTGACAGGAAGATTACAGTAGAAGCTGTAAACTAAATGTGTTAGACTGCTCTAAATAATAACCTTCTAATGTGTTATAAAAACTAGTGTTATAGAGGAAGCATTTGCAGAGATTGAATAAAGGTTTATATTTTAAAAAACTGATAGTTAATGAAAAAAGTGAGAATTGCCACATCCCCAGAATATGGAATATTATTGCATGCTCAATACCGATTTGGGGCCTGGTTCCTTATTTGTTTCAGCATTGTTCTCAGTTCTTATGGCTGAACATATAACTCTTCTGCACATTTCTCCTTTAAGGAAAGCAGAAAAGGAAAACAAACTTAAAATTCAGACTTTTCTTGTATCTCATAAGGTTGTTCATTGGAGCCTATTTTTTCATCTTCTCCAAGGGACAGAATACCTTGTTTATTTTTCCATAGAGCTACGTGAGGTTTAGCCTCTTTCTTCAAAATGGTGATGTCTAGAACAGGACGACTGCTAATTATCACTCAGTTGATGACAAGTGTTATCTATGCTAATGGAGTCACGTTATTTTGTCATAGTAGTCCTTGGGAAGGTTAATACCATTTATAGCTGAATGTTATTTGTATTCCGAGAACCTCTGTTTCAAACACTTGACTTGCTGCTTTACCTAAAGAGTAACATCAACTTCTCCATAGCTTCAGAATCTAACTGTACCATTGTTTTATAGGCCAACCTTCCTCTCCTCCAGAGGGAATTGTTGCACTGTGCTAGAGCAGCCAAGCAAACCCCTTCTCAGTACTTGGCCCAACATGAGCATATTCTGCTGAATACAAACACAGCATCCCCAGCTGACTCTTCAGAATTGCTAATGGAAGTAAATGGAAATGGAAAGAGGCACAGTCCAGACAGGTAAGAGGGTTCAAATAAGTCAGAAATCTGCCACTGGAGATACAGAGGTATACAGAGACACTTGTTGAGATGAGACAAGTGGCTATAAAAATAAACAAATAAATAGTCCTCATGCCTTCTTTGAGAAGTTTGCTCTTATGTTTTCTCTTAAAGCTTGTAACTGTATGTTTAGAAGTCCACTACTAGCCTGAAAGGGACTCAGACTAACTATTCTCTATCCTTTTCTGTTACCTTTTTCCAGAAAAAGGAAGTAGTGAGGAAGGAAAAACAACGGGAAGGAAAAAAAATGCTTAAAGCTTAGTAAGAGTTGGGAATTAAGATCTGGATATAAACCAAATGTCCCAATGAGACAATAGGATTTATAAGATGGGAAGGATGGAAATGAATATATATGCAGAAGACATGCACGGAAACCCATTGAAAAAAAAATAGAGACCGAAAAATCCAGATAGTAGTGAGGAAAACGTTTATCAGGCCCAACGTGTTTTGGATAGGCAGCTTTTTAGCTAGATTATGGAAATGACCTTATCTACAAGACACCATATTGTCTGGAGGACATGAAACATAAAGGCATTTTATCTGCTCTGACAAGAGGATTTTTCATCAGTATAAATACAGACTTCTATATACAGTTTTGTAAAACCAAAACATCAATTTTAGATTACTACAATTAAACCAATTTATTTTAAGTGATTTAATCGGTGGGCAAATGTGTGTATTTTAGTGTTTCACTTTAATTGTTAAACAGTATGAATATGTGTTAGTATTTTCCTGAGACTGTATGTTCTTTTTGGGGGGGGGGGAGTTTTTGAAATGCCAGTACAAGAAATATATGTTAAGTATTATGTTATCTTTTTTCATTGTTAGTCATTGTAACCAAATAGCACCCGAGTAGATAATTTTGACCCATTTGTTATAAACAGCCATCTCATAGTATAGTGCACTAGTCAAACCACACTAGGAATATTGCATCCAGTTCTGGTCACCATGATACAAAGTAGATGTATCATGTCTCTAGAAAATGTGCAGAGAAGAACAACAGAGATTATAAGAGGTCTGGTATATTTAGGCTAATGAAGAGAAGGCTCAGGGGTGACATGATAGCCATCTTCCAATACTTGGAGGGCTTTCACAGGGAAGAGGGGGTCTATTCTCCAAAACATCTGAGCATAGGACAAGGAGCAATGGGTAGAAGCTAATCAGAGAGAGATCCGACTTGGAATTAAAGAGAAACTTTCTGATAGTGAGAACAATTAGTCACTGAAGTAACTTCCCTTCCAGAGTTGTGGGTTCTCCATCGCTGACGGTTTTCAGGAAAAGATGGACAGCTATTTGTCCGGAATGGCATAAGGATTCCTGCCTAGGGTAGGCGGTTGAACTAGAGGTCCTCCAAGGTCCTTTCCAGCCCTATGATTCTGTGATATATTTTGTTCTGTATTATGCTTTTGAAAAGTCTGTCTTATCTGAAACATGTTGAAACATGATTAATAAAATTTTTCATTACTGTCCCTTTGGACTTTTTTTCAACTCCCCGTTTTTACCAATGCTTGGAAGGAATTGGGCATATCAGACACAACAAAAGAGGCTTTGTAGTAATATGGGGGAGCATTGCACATCTTCTTTTTCAGGCAAGTCTCTAGAAAAGTTGTTTAATAGGAAAGAGTTTTTTTTATCCCCCCCCCTTGCTCCGCATTTAGCACTTTTTATTTTTGCATGGGTAATAATGAAGAGGCTATTCAGGTGATTTTTAGAAAACAAATGCTGGCAATACTATTCTGTGGGAACTGAATTCAATTCTGCAAGATGAAACAAAAGGGTACCTCATAATTTACCACCCTCCTGATTCCAACAAGAAATTACATAAAAATGTAGTAATTGTGTTTTGTGTTGGCTTTACACACCTTCAGAATGATTGGAAATGCTGAACACAATTGACTATTATTGTCTGTATGCTATCATGATACTATTAGGGCATTGTTTTTCAAACTTGGCCACTTTATCATGTGGGAACATCAACTCCCAGAATTCCTCAACCAGCATAATGAAGTCCACACATCTTAAAGTAGCCAAGTATGAAAAACACTGTTTGTATCAGGGTTTTGGATGTCATATTTTTGTATGTCATCAATATATGGGAACTTTCTATTTTTCTTCTTTTACTGAGTTTGTGCCTTGTTACTAGTTTTCTTACTTGCGTCATTGGCAATATATGAACCTCTCCAAGTGCACAAAATAATGTAATAATTCCCTGGATGCTAATGGATATCTTTCTTTCTTATCTTGCTACAGAAGGGAAGAGAATAACTTTGAGAGAGAACCAATCCCTTCAGAGCCTCCTGCCAAAAGAGTTTGCACCATTAGCCCAGCACCTCGACACAGTCCATCCCTCATGCTGCCTATTATTAACCCAGCTGGGCAATTTCATCCTACACCTCCTCCACTCCAGCATTATACCCTAGAAGACATTGCAACATCCCATTTGTATAGAGATGCAAGCAAGATGCTGGAACACAGGGATTTGCGAGAAAGACATAGTATAGGTAATGAGATTTGTCCAGCGAGACAGAGATGCCTATATTTTCCAATGTGCTGTATTTCCAATCCAAATGCAGATTACCAGGATTTGTTTTCTAGTTTTGTAATACCTTGGTTAGACCACACTTGGAATTTTGTTTTGATTGCCATGATATAAAAAAGATGTTGAGACTCTAGAGCAGTGGTTCTCAACCTTTTTAATGCCGCGACCCCCAACCGGTCGTAAGTCGAGGACTAAACCGGTCGTAAGTCGAGGACTACCCAACCGGTCATAAGTCGAGGACTTTCCCTGCCCGGGAGCGCCGCGCATGCGTGGTTCTGCCCCCTGCGCCGGCCGAGGCGTAGCTGGCAAGCGGCAGAGACGGAGCAGGCCGACCACCAGCTGGCCCAGCTCAAGGGAGGTAAGGCACCCGCCGTAAAAGGGGAAAACAATGGCGGACAGCCTTGCTTGGCGACCCCCGTGAAATGGTCGATCGACCCGCTGCTCTAGAGAGAGTACAGAGAAGAGCAGAAAAGATTATTATAGGATTGGAGGCTAAAACATATAAAAATGGTTGCTGGAATTGGGTATGTCTAGTTTAATGAAAAGAAGGACTAGGAGTGACATGATAGCAGTGTTCCAATATCTAAGGGGCTGCCGCAAAGAAGAGGTGGTCAACCTATTCTCCAAAGCACCTGAAGGCAGGACAAGAAGCAAAGGATGGAAACTAATCAAGGAGAGAAGCAACCTAGAACTAAGGAGAAATGTCCTGACAGTTAGAACAATTAATCAGTGGAACAACCTGACTCCAGAAGTTGTGAATGCTCCAACGTTGGAAGTTTTAAAGAAGAGACTGGACAGCCATTTGTCTGAAATGGTATAGGGTTTCTTGCCTGAGCAGGGGTTAGACTAGAAGATCTCCAAGATCCCATCCAACTGTGTTATTCTGTTGTTCTGTTATTCCTATTCTAATATAAGATATAAATTTGACAAGTTTTAGCAGAGGCTAAGCATCTCAGGGTGAAGAACTAAATATCATATGGAAGTTTCTGTTATTTGATAGCAAAAGTTTTTTTATCATTTGCTCACTATTACTGATCTTATAGATGCCTGAAGCTTTGTAAATCCAATATGTATTTATGCATTGTCAATATTAATATGTGTTGATAGGAATAATCTCTTTTATCTCTTCCTCCTTTTGTATCACACTGTCAGGATTTTAGACTATACAATTTTCAGATTGTAGTATTTCCTTACATTTCATAACAGGATTAAATGGAGGTTACCAGGATGAACTGGTGGATCATCGCCTAACAGAGAGGGAATGGGCTGATGAATGGAAGCATCTGGATCATGTAAGAGCCTGGGATAAAAATAAAATAATATGTACAAATATGACTCTCCTTCTGCTCTTCTAAGCATGGACTTCATAACATTCTATTAAATTAAAATGATGTACATAGGAATCAATTTTATAATAACTNGTCCATCTTGTCACTTTCTACTTGACTCTTTTATTTGGAATTAAATCTGGATTCTTGATATACAAAGCATGTGTTGTATCTTTGAGTTATGGCAATATGCGTATGCACACAGCCAAATACATGTTTGTATGATTAGGTGATTGTTTAGTCTAGAGAAGATTTAATTTACTGCTAGAGCACGTATGGCACATATACATGGTTCCAAGTTTGACTCCTGCATGCTGATTAGCTGTGTGTAAGTGTATGGGGGAGGGGGACACCTTCATATGCCTTCTGAAATCCTGGGAGGGCCACTGCCAGTTAAATAGTGTAGTGGATTCAATGAATAATTTATTTGACTTTATATGCTTTATATGTGTGCTTTTCTTTGCAAAGTTTGCATACTGTTTTCTATAGGGAATGATGTTAATAGAGGAAAACAACCCCATACTGCTTTTCAAACATGTGGTTAGAGCTGAAACCACTCAGTAGGGAACAGCATTTTCCTCTTAACAATTTGAATTAAAATCCACCTGTTAGAATTCCTAAATCAGTGGTTTCTTAAAGTGTAGGACTTCTGGGGGTCCCCCAAGACCCAGTCGGGTCTGCAGAATGAAAATTATTAGCCAGCTTAAATTGAAAAATAATACAATTGTAAAATCCCATCAAACAAACACAAGTGAGGTCCCTTGCAACATTATCATCATCATCATTTGGCAGCAAATACAGAAATTTTAATTTTTAATGTGGTAAATATCAGTGAATATAATCCATAAAACGAAAGGTCATTTTAGGTCATCCATAATTTTTATTGGGTAGGAAGGAGTCCTGACAGAAAAAAGTTTAAGAAACACTGTCCTAGATATTAACATTAGATATTAGATGAGGGAATAGAAGGTGAAATCATCAAATTTGCAGATGACACTAAGCTGGCAGGAATAGCCAATACCCCAGAAGACAACTTAGGATCCAAAAAGATCTTGTCAAAATTGAACAACGGGCCCTATCCAATAAAATGAAGTTTAATGTGGAGAAAAGCAAGGTTTTACACTTAGGTAGGAAAAACCAAAGGTACAAATACAAATTAGCCAAAACCTGACTCAAAAAAGAATAACTCTTAAGAGGGACCTTGGAGTGCTAGTGGACGATTACTTACCGTAAATTTGAACCAGCAGTATATGGCAGCAGCCAAAAAAGCTAATATAATCCTTGATTGTACGAACAGAGGCATAGAATCAAAATTACGTGAAGTATTAGTACTGCTTTTTAAAACCTTGGTTAGAACACACCTAGATAGAATACTGCATCCAGTGTTGGACACTATACTACACAAATATGTTGAAACACTGGAAAAAGTGCAAAGAAGAGCAACTAGGATGATTAACTAACGGCCTGGAGACTAAAACATGAAGAACGGTTGCAGGAACTGGGTATGGCTAGTCTAGAGAAAAGAAGGACTAGAGGTGACATGATAGCAGTATTCCAGTATTTGAGGGGCTTCCACAAAGAAGAGGAGGGTCAACTTATTTTCCAAAGCACCAGAAGGCAAGACAAGAAACAATGGATGGAAACTAATCAAGGAGAGAAGCAACCTGGAATTAAGGAGAAACTTCCTAACAGTGAAAACAATTAACTAGTGGAACAGCTTGCCTTCAAAAGTTGTGGGTGCTTCATCACTGGAGGTTTTAATAAAGAGTCTGGACAGCCACTTAAGTGTCTCAAGTTGTATAGGGGCTCTTGCTTGAGCAGGGGGTTGGACGAGAAGGTCCCTTCTAGCTCTATTCTGATTGATTGATATCATTTCGCCTATATTTCAAAAGCTCCTGAATAATATCTGTTTTATAGAGAAGATCCTAATTTTTAACACCATTTATTTTTATACAGACTAAATTAATTATTAGGAAGTAGCTCATCATGTATTCCAGAGTCTGTTTCTGCAGGATAAATCTGTTACAGGAAAGTATAACAAAAACTCTTACATAGGCAACAGTGCAGGAAAACTCTGCTTACTGTCCTTTTGTGAAGCCGACATGTATCAAAATGTGCTGTTCTTTTCCCTGTTGAAGGCATTGAATTGTATTATGGAAATGGTAGAGAAGACCAGGCGTTCCATGGCTGTCCTCCGCCGTTGTCAAGAAGCTGACAGGGAAGAGCTCAATTACTGGAAAAGGCGATGCAGTGAGCCCACCGAGCCACGGAAAGGAGGGAGCGATTCAACTATGCGGCAACATAGTCCTGGGAGCTCAGACTCAATCAGCAGTGGTATGCACTGACGCCCTGAATTTAAGGCAGTGGCTTTGTACTAGTATACTCTAGATCAGTATTTCTCAACCTTGGCAATTGTAAGCTGGGGAATTCTGAGAGCTGACGTCCATGTGACTTATAGTTGCCAAGGTTGAGAAACACTGATCTAGATTTTTGTCTGAATAAAAGAAGAATGAGGAAAAATAGTTTGAATTGCTTTACAGTGCTCCATCTGTAAGCTTAAGCACATTTAAAGAGTGCACTGTTACCAATAAATATAGAACAATGTAAAGTATCTTCAGGCTCCCCTTTTGGACACTATCTCTTAAGATTAAAGAGCAGAACTCAAACTAATGTTAACAAAACTTAATGCAAAAATAATGAATCAATTATTATTCTAAACTTCTTCAACATTCTGAAGTAGAATGAAATGCTCTGCACTCTCAACTACTATTTCAGTAGCATTTTAAGCATAACAGTGTTTTTTTTAATCTTCCCCATTGATTTGCACCACCTTATTATGAATTAAATCATTGATGTTCTGGTGATATTGATACAAAGTTTGGCTTCAATTTCACTTTCCCAAATTCAAATGGAAATTAGCCCTGGGAACTGAATCCAGAATTGACATGTAATTTTAAAAAAAAAATCTTCTCCCCCTTCAGAATCAAAAACATAATGAATTTGGAAAGGATATTACCTGATATTTTGGGAAGGACACAGTACCTAATTTATTTGTAATATGCATCATTTGGATGCAACCTTCATCCAAAAAGATTTTCAAAGTGACCTGCGTATAATCAGTGCCAGAGGCTAATAATCTAAAAAAACAAGTTACAGCAAGGGTGGAAACCAGGTAGCCTCAGAGGATGTTGTGATGGGAAGCAGCTCCTTTTCCCTCTGAATTGCTTCCAGCTGGCCATTTCTTTGGGATGAGTTACTTAGTTTTAAGTATTGGTGCCTGAACTTGCACGTTGCATCAAGATTGGAAAGAAAAATAATAATGTGTGTTTCATATTCCAAGCTACTTCTTGGCTTTAGATTCAGAGTAAAATTTCCAATGATAAAAATGAACATTCTATTTTTTTCCTCCTTGTTCAAAATGACAGTTAATTCTATTGCCTGCCTTGAATACAGAAAGATAGGGTATACATTGAATAAATAAATAATCAAGCTGGCTTTGCAATATAAAGTTTTGTATTGGGCTTTTGTTTAGGTTTCCAAACCATTAACTGTAACAATTTTCAAGATGTTCCAGTTCCATTTCCGCTATGTTTTTCTTTTTATCCTGCCGGTACTTTGACATAATTTTGCTAGTGTTGAGTTTGGTCAGTGCAAGCTTGGGGGTTTCTCTGAGCATTGAAGCATTTTGGCTTCAATGTGTAAAAATCCACACTTAGGAAATGAGTTTGCTATTAGTATACATATTGAATGCATTCTATATTTGATGAATGGTAATCTGGAGGCCAGATTTTCTCTCAATAGCATCTGTGCAGTCCTTGAGCATAATGTATAGGTTTAATTGAACTTTTAAAATGCTTTGCTGAAGTAAAAATCCATTCCGTTCTTTCTACAACACTGAGCCAAATACCCTTCTTAATTGTCCTCATAGCATTTGGTAATGTATGTTGTTTCTGAATAAATGCCATTTCTCCTACTTTGGCTAATAAGGATTGAGAGGAGTTGAATTCTAATATTTTGAGCTACAGACAAAAAAACACATTTCACAGTGCTCTCTGTACTTTACACTATTTTTGAAGCTGGAACAGTCATTAAATGAACAGTTGTAGGTCGACAATAAGGTACCTGTATTCTACCTTGTTATAGTATACAGGATCCCAGAGACAAGAAACAGGTGATAAATTAGAGATGAAGTATGCCTATATTTGGATAAAACAAAAGCATTGTTTTCAACTTAAAATATGCAAAATTTTACATCTAATTACCATATTATTTTGGATTGAGAATATAATCTGTATGAAGCCTTGTGAATATTTCACTTTTCAACTTTAAAATAAAGCTGTCTAAGGTTATTTGAAATACAAGACACCATTAGCAAAGATTACATTGTGGAATTTAAACATGGAAATGAAATATTCTGTGCAATAAATTATGCAGTGATCTAAATTAAATTAAATTTAAAATTAAAAGTGATCATCTATCATTTTGATATTGTTGAACACTCTTTAATTGCAGACATCTCTTGGTTTGGTTTTAGCGATTAACCCATCCTGCTCTCTTGCTACACAGATGCTGAATATAATTTTTTTTTTTTTAGTTTGGCAGGGCTACATTTCCATGCTTAATATTATTGCCATCGTTCCTTTTGCAGAATCTCAGCGGGAGTTCAGTAGCAGGCCAGGAACAGCTGGTTATGTCACAGAAGAGATATGGAAAAAGGCTGGTAAGTAAGGAAGCCTGTTTCAATAAATTGCTATGGGATGTTATTTTGTTTAGAAACATCTGGAAAGTCACAAATTCCTATCACTGACCTAAAGAGAAAATACCTGGAGAGCCACAGTAAATCAAAAATTCCAAATACATAGCTGAGGTGGATCTGAATTACAACTAAACAGGCAAGCAGCTGCTCTGAGAAGCTGGCATGAGGTCCAAGATCCATCTTAGCATGTTCAGACTAGAGATTTTCTGGGCAACTGATGGAAGTGGCAACATCCACTCTGTTTCAGAAAAGACATAGCAGAATTGTGAGGAAACAAACAAAAAAGGAAATGGTTCCTGTCCTGAAGGGGCAAAGGAAAGAGGACATAAATAACAATCACAGAATCCTATTTCTTGGTTTATGTTAAAGGTATAATTTTTCTAAACACTTTCTGCAAATGTCTTTGCAGCATTCTGTCAGGCAGTAAGGTATCTAGCTGTGAATAAATGTTTCAAGTAGTCAGGGGAACTTTGCTTTAAATTATATAAGTAATAGTTTCACAACTAATTCAGATATTAAAAAATATGTCTATGTATGACTGGTTTGCCTTTATCTTTTGGGAAAAGGCAGCTAAAGGTATATGTAATTAATGACTAAATCTTTAAATAAAAGAAAGCTCAGTTGAAATGAAGATACACAGTCCATAAGTACAAGTATTTCTCCTGGGCAATGAGAGTAAAATGAAAACTGTAACACAGATAATGTAGTTATGAACCTGTAAGCGAAGGAGGTGCCAAGAAAAAATAGAAGCCTTGAAAAGGCTTGAGTTTCAATTTCTACAAAGATTTTTGTATAACTTTGGACAATTCAGCATTTTTCAGACATGATTACTTTCCAAGAGCCATGGTGATGCAGTGGTTAGAATGCAGTATTGCAGACTAGCTTTGCCCACAGCCAGGACTTCCTGACCTGCTCAAGGTTGACTCAGCCTTCCATCCTTCCTAGGTCGGTAAAACGAGGACCTAGATTGTTGAGGGCAATATGCTGACTCTGTAAACCGAGAGGGCTGTTAAGCCCTATGAAGCGGTATATGAGTCTTAAGTGCTATTGCTATTCCAATCTTTTTTGTAAGGAGGGGATGAGGTTTTATACGTTAATTCATTTTTTGTAAGATTCTTCCCATACCTTCCCTCTCTGATAAGTGAACTGACTCCTCTCATAGATCATGTCTGAGGCATTTGCTTAGTTTGGGCTTAGGCTAATACATATAGCATAGCTTGCAAATTTTGCAGCTCTAGAAAAATCTTGTCTGTATTGCCTAGTTATCTTGTCTTCAGAACAGGCCAGCAAATGTTTTTGTTGGATGATATTGCCCTCTGTGCATCCCCCACTCTTGATCAAAATGGTCTCAGGGTGTCTCTTACTGCTCTATTTCCCAAGTACACTCCCTTGTCACCTTGAGCGCTCTGTTCATTCGGGAAAGCACGCTTCCATTGATTGCAGGTCAACCCTGCCATTTATCAGCTATTTTGCAAAAGAAAGAACCAATTCCTGTTCAATTGGGTTAGCACTTATCATTTTTAAAGCTGCCCGTTTACCACGAGTAACTGTAAAACCACAATAATTCTATGAATGCTTGCAAACAGGAGGCTGTTGGTTCTATCCTTAGCAGAACGTTTTTAAGTTACAGTGGTACCTTGGAATTCAACTGCTTTGAAGCTCATCCCAATTGGTATTTAACACATTTTGACACGTAAATTTTTCTCCGGTACTCATGATTTGTTTGTTACTCAACACAAGCTAGAACTTGTTGGTCAGTTGCCTTGTGACTCACTACATTATTCCTTATGGAAATATTTGTTTGGTACTCATCATTTTTTGTATTCATTGTGCCCCCTGGAACCAATTAACGATGAGTATCGAGGTACTACTGTGTTATTTTTTTTCCACTGAGCTTAATTTCCCTGCTCTGTTTTACTTGTTTTCCAGTAACCTGTGGTAACAAATTTTCACCTCAGTTTCCAAATAGCTCAAATATTCTAAATAGCAGAATGAAGGTGATCCTTTAGTTCAGGAGTACTTCAGGGGAAACTAAAGTTATGTGTGACTTTGGCCTTTTATTACACAGTTGATTGGAAGCGTCTTCTTCAATTATTACATTTTATTTTCCATCATGAAGCTGTTTGATGTACAACCTTTGTTTTCTTTCAGAAGAAGCTGTGAATGAAGTCAAACGCCAGGCTATGTCTGAAGTCCAAAAAGCAGTAGCAGAGGCTGAGCAGAAGGCATTTGAAATGATTGCATCAGAAAGAGCTAGAATGGAGCAGACCATTGCTGATGCCAAACGCCAAGCTACAGAAGATGCTTTCCTAGTGATTAATGAGCAAGAAGAATCGACAGAGGTGAGGACTAAGCAGAAATACCTGGTGTTTTGGGAGGGCATAGGGAAGCTCTTGGACATCACCTTAAAGATGGAAGTGACTTTGTGTCGGTTTTGGGAGGTGGGGTTGTTTGGAGGTTTTTTTTTAGAATTTCATCACTCCTTTTTATGTTATAAATTAATCTCAGTTGTCTATGGGGATTCTCAGTCATCTAGGTGATGGTTGTCCCAAAGGTGCTTTTTTCAAAAGACAATTGGACATTTCACTTCTCATCTAAGAAGCTTTTTCAGTTCTGACTGAATGGTGGAGAATGGAAAGAATTATATTCCTTGCAGTTATCTGGAAAATGGAAGGAATATAAATCCTTGTTGGGGAGATTGCAGTCTCAAAGCCAGTGTAAATAAATACTGTTCCAGCAGCTTCTTTTTTTTTTGTTTTGCACTCTGAATGATTTAACAATTTATCATTGTTAAAATCCACCTGGTAAAGGAAAACGTGCTCTTCAGAAATATGTTATTTGAGCCTGTTACATGGCTCACTGATGGTTGCTAATTAAGTTATTCTTCTTAAATTTGTGCCAAGGAGAAACGTTGGAATTGCTATGAACACCTTCACTGAAATGTAAATTCACAAATCTATGAACATATCATATGACAGTTACAGCTGATACAATTATAGCTAGGTTGCCATTTGATAGAATTTGGCAAACTATTCTATGTTATTCTGGACAACATTTGAATTTGATTATACAAGGAATTTTCTTACTACTGTAGCAGTATTGAAGCACTATCTTAATAGCACCTCCCTCAAGGCCTTTTTCCTCCTTGAAATAATAAAACAACTTCAAACTGTTTATTCGTCAGGATACTTAAAGGAAAAGTTTGTTCTTTGGTTTTCCAGAGCTGCTGGAATTGTGGCCGCAAAGCCAGTGAGACATGCAGTGGATGTAACATTGCTCGTTATTGTGGCTCCTTCTGCCAGCACAAAGATTGGGAGAGACATCATCGAATCTGTGGGCAAGGCCTGCACAGCCAAGTTAAGCCAGCGTCCTTATCAGCCAGTCGGCCTTCAGCAGCCACCCTCAATGTAGTTGATGGAATAGCAAGTCCAGCTCTGGAAAAAACATCCGCAACCACTTCTCGATCCTCCACTCCAGCTTCTGTAACTGCAGTAGATACAAATGCACTCTAAAAGGGAACTCTGCATTCAATACGTTTTTTGTTATTTTGTACTTTGGAAAACAGAAACCTCAATACATTATTAAAAATTTATATTCCCACACTTCGGAATTCAGGCTATTTGTTGGGGAGGGTGGCTTTTTACAGTGACATTTTTAGAAATCTGTGTTAGCCCTTCCAATTTGGGATCTCAAAATAATCTCAGTGTTTCCTGGAACATGGAGAATTTGTTTTAATGGAACTTTCTCAAAAGATACTCTGTATTGATATAATTTTAAGCTTCTAACTAGCAAGTTCTTCTATTTATCATGAAGCAAAGCTGCTTGGAAAGCCTTTTCTCTCCATCTAGTATATCCATTCTTCCTCTGTATAATCTGAACAATTGAGTTTTCACTACCACCACCCATTGCTATTTGAGTACCTCTAGGCTTTTTACATGTTGTGACAGAATAAGTGGACCATTTCTTTATCAGGCAAAACTATGTAAATAAAATATAATATAAGCAGCCTGTTATTTTTACCTTTCATACTCTAGCATTGAAGATTTTTTTGTTTTCATTTTCATGTTTTCCATCATTCCTGAAATGGACATATGACCGAAAGATGCTGTACTTGTGCTTTAAAAGGAAGATCCAAAACTTGTTCAACTCACTAGTTTTTCACTTAGCAATTTTGGGAACTTATGGATGCAGAGCAGAATGCTTATGAATTGGTTGGAGGGATTAAAATGTTCTATCCAAATTTTTTCCAGAACGTCTTATTGGATCATTTAACAAATCTGATTGTTTATTTTGTCATCCCAACTCTGTCACACACTCTTCTCTGCATAAATGTTGATGGCTTTATATATTTTGTTTTAAAGGTGCAATAGTGAATAAATTAACTGCCACATACCACACATGACTCAAACAGTTATATCCTATATTCAAGCTTTCATGTTCAGGTATCCTCTAGGTACATTGGTTTTCAGTTTTCATATTTCCCCAGATTAGACATAATTGACATAATTGTCTATGGGATTTATGGACTTGAAATCCAATACCTGTGGAGGGTGTTGTGTTGGAGAAGTTAAAGCTATTCTCTCAGAAGATGTTAGTAAAATTATAGAAGATTAATATCATTTAATAACATTCATGAACAGCCAAGGCTAATGAATTTAATTCTCTTTTTCTGTGAGCAAACTAAAACTGTTGACTCTATTGAAGAATTTCATGTATTAAAGTATTATGGCATCTTTCCAAGATACTTCATGAATTCTGTAGGTTCCATGTTTCCAAGATCTATCCACTGTGTCTTTATAATGTATCTAGTTCTTTTGCTGCATTTAAGAAGGATTTTTTGTGATTTTTCCATCTTAAACTTGTCAGGTTGATCTTTATTCAAATAGATCAAGATCAGCGGAGAGTAGGCAAATCACAACACAGATGGAAAGCAAGTTTTGTTAGCTTTAAGATGCAAATTCCGAGTAAACCACTCAATATGGGGATGGTTGAAAAGAGTTATTCTCTTACAGTGACCTCTAATATACATAGTTGCTTTTTGCCAACACTAACATCAGAAACTATTGGGAGATATATTTATGCATCTAGTTCGAATCTCAGAGGAGTGGCTTCATAGAAAGGCTTTTATTTTTGAAAAGTTATCAGAATTTATTCAGATTCATGTTTATGAAAATCCAGTACTCTGACTTCTAATCCCCTATTTGTGGTTTACCACAAACATCTGTTTTGCCTTACTCAGATATAGTAGTGTGTCTTAATATTAAATTGAGGGAATTAATATACAGTACAGAGGAAGAAGGCATTTATATATAAGTAAAGGCTTTATTCATATGATGCCAAAATCTCATGGTTTGATGTTATGTCTGAGCTAATCCATTGTAGCAAAATAATTTTCAGGGTGTATTAGATACTCTAAAGTATTATTTGGTGCTTCTTTGTTTTTGTTTTGCAAATTCCTGTGTTGCATATTTCCATGAATGCATATGCATTGCTTGGAGAAAAATATTTGATTTATACCTGGAACTCATCCTTTAGTGATGATTTACCAAAGATGGATTTTTTTAAAATTCATGCTGTTTAATAAAAATCAAAATCCAAGGTCATGATTTCACACATGTTCATAAATACATTTTTAGTGTTCATTTTAAGAAAAGGTTTATAGTACTCCAAGGAACTATCAAGTTTGAACTGTTCCCAAGATTTTTCAGCAAATGTGAAAATATGAATTAAAGCTGTGGTGCTAACATTACTTACTTGTTCCAAAACTGATTGCCACCTAATTCTCTCCATAGAACAGAATGATACAAGATCAGTTCCAAAGAAAAGTATGAATGTATGTTTGTCTCAGAGAGAGAAAGATTATATGTGTGTGTGAAAAAACGTTCATTGGCATTCTAAGAGTATATGTAAATAGACAGTCTTCCATAATTTAACATGCAACTACAATAGATTGATGTGTATTAAGTGAAAAATACATCAATGTACACAGGTTACATATTACCAGTCATAATTTTAAAATGATTTTTGAAAATGGAAGTGAAAGATATGAAATGCTACTATGGGAATACTTTGTGGATTCTGTTTTCTATATATTTTTGTCATTGATTCTATATTAGGAATTTTTGTTACCAATTTCATGTGCATAACTTATTTAATATACTGTATAAAAGAACCGAAACAGTTACAGATGTATTTAGTTTGTTCTACTCATAGTAGTCAATAAAGACTATGTTCACCTTATAATACTTTGACTTACCTTTTTTTATAGAATATAATTTCAGCTAAAGGCTGGATTGACAAATCTTCTATATAAATAAAAATGTAAATGTTCGTTTGTTCAAAATCTTAAATCTCCGAAAGTTCTTCACCGATTGCTTTGAAATTTTGACACAGCGTTGCATTCAAATACGCGCATGTTTTTATATTCCTACTATATAGATGTCACACCTGTGACATAAAAACATGCTTTTTTGAAAAACAGCGCCATCTGTTGGATGCTTTGAAATTGCCATTGAACATGCAATTCATTGAAACTCCCACGTGCAACATTTCCAAAGCATCCGGCATGAGAAAAGTATTGCAGAAATGCAAACTTATTGTTTGGAATGAATGCACAATGGCGCATTGAGACTGAGCCACAGCAACGCGTGGCCAGGTACAGCTAGTTATCAATATTATTTAAATTCTATCCCACTTTTTCTCTAGGAAATCAAGATAACTTACCGTACATGAGGGTCTTCTTTTGTTTCATCCTCGTAAGCATCCTGTAAGGTAGTTTGAGCAGAGAATGGTCTAACATCTCAGTCAACTTCCATTGTTGAAGCTAGATTTGAACTTGAGTCCCTCTGATATTATTCCAACACCTTAACTACTACACTACAGTGGCACTTCATAAGCAGTAGCTATGCCTTGGTTTTGGATGGCATGTTGTATGAATCCAGTCACTGGTTCGTAAACCATGCTTGAAGCTTTGCGAATCATGTAAACTAAGCCACAGTGGATTCAACAAACCAGGATTTAAAAAACCAGTATAATTTAAACCTAACCAATAACAACTGTTACGATTCTGCATGCAAAAAATGCAGAGATTACTGCATGTAAAAATCAGTCTGGCATAATTACTTTTTAATGTCTGAAAGCATGTTTATTGCTGTTATGTTTTCCAAGCCAAGTTTGGAAGAATAGATGACGAGGTTTCATAAATCAGGAAGAAAAACTAGAAATATCCACTGAGAACAGAATTTTAACAGAGTACAACAAACTCTCAGTATACTGTGAAAAAATGCAGACTAAGATTTATGAAAGAGAGATGAAAATGTATTTATTGTTTTAAACTTAAAATATAACCCTATCTAGAACATCCCCAGATTTATGTAATTGATTACAGGCATTTTAGTAGACTCATGATTAAGAAATTATCTTTGCAACAATTTTAGATAACTAATGCTGATTCTAAAGTAACACATGTAAATTGAACCCAAGCAAAATAGTACTTGCATATATTTGAATAGACATTTATCCTTGCACACAGAAAATTCAAAATGCATTTAATCTTCACATTATGGCTTCATCATGGATAGACTATATGATTTAACTGTCTAGATATAGTATTATGATGTGCCTTCAATACTAATAAAATGCTTTATTGCACATTTTATTTGACAATGTTTCAAGAATGAATCTTTAAGTGGACACAGAGAGGAAAGAAAGTGTGTTAATTGCCTGATTTAACATTGATTTAAATAATGTAATAATCCAGGAGTATTTAAGAAGTCTTAAAGGAATCTTTTAAAAGCCCATAATTAGGCAAGTTTTTTGACCCAGTAGCACAGTTGAAATTTGGAAAGTTATGGGTGCTTTTAAAAAAGAATATGTTCAGTGAAAGAATCTTTGTTAATGGAAGACAAACAAATTATCCTAAGTCATGCAATTCAAAGCAAATCTGGATGGATGGGAGGGAGGGAGGGAGGGAGGAAGGAAGGAAGGAAGAATACGAATACCATTTGCAATATGCAACTCCTATGTAATTTTTATTTCAAAATTTTGTTTTAATAATTTGGAGAATGGATCACAGTGCCAAGGGTCTGTGGGCATAGGTATGGGCATATTCGTGCCCAGGTGTGTCCCAAAATTAGTGCCTTAATATGGGCATTTAATGTCCTGGAAATCATAAGTGTATACCTGTCTACTCTGTAAAGGGTAAGAAGGCACAGAATCTCTTTGATCTTGAGTAATAATCAATGGCATTGGTACACTAGGTTATATGCTCCCGGCTGTGGGAACTTTTCAGAGGTGTTGAGAATTTAGGTTTCAAAATTACCAGGCAGTAGTGCAGTTCCCAGAATTCATAACTTCTTGTGTGAATTTTGGGAATTAAAGTCCCATCACTTCTACATAGCATCAAACTCCAGAAGGCAAGGACATTCTCATTGGTAATCTCCAATATTCCATGTATAATGTTTGAGATTAACAGAAGAAAGACAGAAAATAAAAGTACCATTTTTGGATTGCAATTGCATATACTTATAGATAAAGTCCAGAGTATTCTTTAAAGTATATTAAACTCAGAAAATAAA